CCAAGCTCAAGCAAATCACCTCGAAGATCTTGTCGTTGACCTTCTCCATGGGGATCTCGATGTAGTCCGCCATCTGCTCATTGAAGTTCACCATGCTGCTGTTCTCTTTCTTCTTCTGGCACTTCTCGATGTCAAAGTTCAGGATGTAGCTTTCCTTCTTGTAGGTGACATTCTCCTGCTGGTCGACCATTCGCTGCTGGATTCGCCCATCCAGCTTCTCCTTCTTTTCCGTGGTGCTCCTTTTGACCTCCTCGTCGACCTCGTCCTGCGCCATGTCATTCTCTGTGACGAGGTTCTTCTCTTTCTCTTTCTCCTCAAGTGAGTTCCCATCTGCCTCACTCCATTGCTGAGCCCTCAGCTCAGTCATGAGCACCATGGCCTCATCATCCATCAACTGGACTCGAACCCAATTGCAATCACCTCGGCATTCTTGCAGGAGTCTTTCTCTTCATTCTCATTGCCATGAACTCCATCTCCAAGGCTGGCGCTCTTCTTCTCCATGAGGTCCCCCTTGACCTTTCTTTTCCTCCTTCTCTTTCAGTGAGCGCTGCCCTGCCTCACTGGGCGCCACTGAACTTTTTCCTGAAATTCTCCATGTCGTAGCGCCACCATTGCTTCTCATCAGCTCCTGGACCTGACAACGTCCAGAGCCTCATCTCCATGGCCATCATGGCCATCATCACCACCATCGCCATCCATGGCGTCGCAAGCGTGTGAGCCCTCATGACCGTAGCTTGCCCGCGGTCAATCCTCGGGCTCCGCTACCATGTCAAAACATGGCTGCGGCCTTTTCTCTCGGGCAGAAAAGCCACTTCAGTTGAGGGTTTGTGAACTGTACCTCATGTACATGCTATGCATGATTCGGTGCAAGGAAATCTCACACATTCCTGAGTTTGGTGTCTTGCATGCAAGGTCTGAAAGTTCAACGCTCTTATTGTTGAATGCTGGGAAACGGAACGAACTTTGTTCCCCCTGCATTTGTCTTTGCGTCGTTCTTCGAAGGCAGTAACGAAAGTCAACAACTGTTCAAAGGCATCTCTGACTTCCAAAGATTTCTCATTTGAAACATGCAATGCAGGGTGGGCACAAAGTCTCGAAGGCCAGTCACTTAGATTGGCTTCCGTTGGCATTCGCGAACCACATCTTCATGTTTGCATCAACCTCCAATTCCAGTGGAAACACGTTAAAGCCTCTTCCCACTGTCTAGAGCTGGATGCTCTGATCAAGGCAAACCTGATATTGTCGTCATCACCAAACCACACGACCATCTGATTTGTCAGGATAGATTTTCAAAGGGGCAAAGCTTGGATAGCAGCTAACAGTTCCAGCTCATACAGTTCAAGAACATGTGTGGACATAAGTGTTCGCGGGGTTTGGCAAACAATTGCTCGTGACTCGCGGCGCTGCAAAACCCTGGAAACCCAACGGTACCAGAAGGGGGTGGAGAACCTATGGACCTCGATGTTATCCTTGATAGAGTCATCCAGCATGCTCAGAACGAGGCGGTGAATGAGTTCTTGGCAGGTGCATCTAGGTGTGATGCTGTTGGAGGTGACTTTGAGGCAGAAGGTCAAGGTTCATCCATCTCGGTTAAGTTTGGAGGAAACCAGGTAGATGTTCAGATCGTTGAGGGCGTGTGTGACGAGTTGACAGGGCATCCAATTTTTTTGCACGGGTGGAGACGCCATGTGTGCGGAATGCACAGGTCATCTTTGCTAAAAGAAGAAACTCTGCAAGTTCAAAAAGGGGAGAACCAGAACCAAAACAGGAAGACACCAACCCAAAAAACCAAACAAAAAACGCCACAAAACAAAACACAAAACCCCCAGAGATGAAAGCTGCAGAGTTTCAGCTCTGTACATCATGGTGAAACATAGTGAGACGAGGGAACTGTGGCAACTAGCTAACTGGTTCTCGAATTCAATTTCACGCTGCAATCCATGTGCCTGTGGAATGGCATTGTGCGCTCGGCCTGTATTCGAAAGGACCTGGTCACAGGCGCTTTCAAACGAAGTGCTCGAAAGCACTCAAGCATGTGTGAAGTGGCACTATGTCAATTTGGCAGCTTCCTAGATAGGGCTGCGCCGACTGGGTTACCTCAGAGTGCGGGTCAAGCTCAATTGGCTCTGATGCAATGCTGTTCTGGCCTTGGAAAACAGCCTTCTCCTGGTGCACAATTGCGATGGCGGGAGAAACTGTGGCCTGCGATAAGCAGTATGCCAATGGTGGTCATTGCTCTCCGGTGCGCCTTCCGGCGCCTGACGAAACTCCCCCTCAACAGAGGGAGCAGTCGCGCACATTTCAAGCAAGCTCCATAACAGCTAGGCCTACAGGAGCGCAGCAAATGCGCAGGATACTATCCAGGAAGGATAGCGTTCCTATTCGTCAGTTGACTCGCCTCCTTCACGCATGGCCCTTGTGAAACATGGTGAAACCTGGAAATGCTGGCACGGTGCCATCTGCCCTCTTTGTACAAGATTGGCAGGGTACGGACCCTCGCCAGGCGAAGAACTAAGGTTCTCACCCGGGCGCCAATCAACTATCTTGCCTACCGTCGCGGGCGGACACCAGTCGAGAACTAAGGCTCTCAACCAGGCCAGCTCACTAGCATTGCACAAGTATGGGCATGTTGGCTGGAGTCGTCAACGACTCTGATCGACTTTCCTCTCTTTCACTTAGGCTGGAGAGGGCAGTCGAATTGACTTACTTGCCGCCTACCATGTGTGCTGTGGCTCGTATGGACTTAAACCACGTCCGACACTCATCAAGTCCGACGCTCATCCTACATCTCGAATCATATGCAGCCACGAGGCCATCGCCATGCGGGGCACAGTGCAAATGCATTTTCTTCGGCATATTATGTCCCTCCACGTAGTTCTTTGGCCTGGCATTTTCGTGAGTCTCCCCAAGACTGTGCAATCGAGAAAGGCCCTACAGACAATGTAATGAAGTGAGGGTGGGATGGCTAGTTCTTTCAAAGCGGCGCAATTCATAAAAGCGTTCGGATGGATTGTGTGTACTGTATATGGAAGGCGGACCTCCTGGAGTCGTATACAGTGCACAAATGTAAACTCTCGAATCTCCTCTATATTGGTGTCAGAAATGTCAACGTGAGAGAGCAGTTTGCAATTGTCACAGGCATGGGCTCCCAGCTGAGAGGAGTAGGCTAGTCAAACTCCCGGGCCGTCATAAATGGAGAGGAACCTACGCAGAAGAAAATGCTTTTGCTATTTGCCCAGCCGTGCGATGGCCACCGTGGTTGCATATGATTCCTGACACTGGCTACGTGTCTGGTTTAGCGTAAGGCACACTTCTCCAACTGTTCAAGTGTGAACCAGGTTCCGACAAGCAGAGGGAATCGCCATTCTCGTCTTCGTCTCCTGCGATTTTGTGAGCCCACCGGGATGGGAGCCTTAGCTCTTGGTCCTTGGAAGGCGGGTGGTAGCAGAACGGTAGATGATTGGTGCCCAGGTGAGAACCTTATTCTCATCGCTTCTAAACCGTGCAACCATCTTATGCTACGTTCTTTTAAACGAAACGTTTAACAAGACAGCCAATCAATTATGACAAGTCAAGTGTAAACTGTTTAGTGTCGGTCTCTCTGACAAAGGTTATGATGTAAAACAGCTAGATAAGACAAGGGGGTCTATAACTTAAAAATAAAAATTAAAAAAAGTCCAAACTCATTTCAAAAGTCCAACCAAAACTCACCTCTCACCAGGCAAGTCCAAGCAAAACTCAAAAGTTCAAGGCAAAGTCCAAGCAAAACTCACAGGTTCAAAGGAAAGCTCAAGCGAAACTCAAGGAGCTAGGGAAACCAGGGAAGCGCCCGCTCAGCGAGTTTTGGGCGAGCTTTGCGCGAGCTTTTGACGAGCTTTTGACGAGCTTTGGTAGAAGAAAACTAGACAAAAGCTCAAATCGAAGCTCAAAAACTGAATGCGCACGAGCTTTTCACGAGCTTTCTGCGAGCTTAGCTCGAAATAAACTAGCACCGAACTCACCACGACGCTCACGCCGCGGGAAACTACTTTTGCGCGAGCTTTCCCTGAGTTTTGCTTGAACTTTTTAATGATCAGTTGAATTTGCTTTGGACTTTCCTGTTGACTCTTGAGCTTCCATTGGACATCAGCACAGCACAAGCGAGCTTTAAGCGAGCTTGAAAACGAGTTTTGGGCGAGCTTTAAGCGAGCTTAAGAGGCCCCTGTCTTATCTGCTATTTTACGTCATAAGACAAAGGCTGGACAAGTGCACCTTTTTTCTTGCGAAGCGCTTCGGG